TTTGATGTATATACTTAATTGGATTGGACTAAATGATTGTACACCTTCCTAACCCCAATCTAAAGTATTTATGCACCAAACTCTACTTTATAATCTCCAATTCCTCAACTTAGAGACTCAAAACCAATTCTACCACTTTGAACCTGTTCTTGACCATTTTGATGATTCCAACCAGTCACATATGACCTATCTACACTACCCCAGCAGTCACTAACAGCCCTTGACCACTACTACTCAAATTTACTACCTCACTTCCTCTAAAATACATTAAACCAGCTCAAAATTCCCTTTACACTTTACTTCACCACCAACACAACAAATTACATACAATAACCACTTCCAATTTGCACAATCACAACACTTAGATTCATCCAAACCAGTTCATCAATCACAATCTACAATTTCCACCATTTTAACATTTCAAGAACATACACTCACAAGCTGAAATTCTAACTACACAGCACTTTAATCACAGAATTAATCACATACAACACAAATTGATAATTCAAAACACAACCTAGCTTCCCTTACCTCAGAGATAAACAGCCCCAAACACAGAAACGTTCCAACCATACCTTGCACAGCAAGGAAAACTCAACAGAAACCTACAACTCACCAATTGGTGATAGAGAACCACACTTAGAACCTAATTTGAGCTAGAAATTGTAAGGAATAATTGTTAATCACATGCAACCAGAATCATTGCATGCTCACAGTCCAGAGAAGAACGGACATAAAAGAGAGACAACTTACCAGTTGAAGAACAAGGAAATGATCGGTCCAAAACCAAGCCCTCAACGTCAGGATCGCTTAGACACCTCCTGATCGTTGAAAAAATAACTCAACAAGAAGAAATTGTAGAGAGAATTCAGAGAACTCTGAGGAATAGAGTTCTAGAGAGATGAAATGTTCTTAGAATAATGAGAAGTGTTTATAAAAATTCTATTTATATTATAAGATTATTTTAAAGTAAATAATCTATCTCATTATTTTAACACACCAATCTGCTCTATAACACTATTTTTCAGGTCTTTAAAATAACATCATCATATTAAAAAATCTAATCCATTTATTTATAAAGTTTAAAATCTAAAATATATCAAAATTTTAAATAAAAAAAATTAATTTTGTGAATAAGTTTATAAACTACCATCATATTTAATCCTAACACTTAAAAATAGGGTAATTCAATTTCAGTGTTTCCTACACTAACAAAACATTCACCATATGACAAAAAATATATTCATTATTATGATATAAGTTATGGAACCAAAAGATAAATATAAAAATATTTTAGTAAATAAATCTACATAATATTAAGGATAAAATATAAATAAAATTAAATATATTTTTATCCTATGAAATTTTATGTAACATTAAATTGCATCTGTGTTATAAATTTTGAATTACTTTTAACCTCAAACATTGTTAATAAATGGATAAAGCTCTCATTACTTACTAATATTAAGAATTTATTATATTTTTGCTTAATATCAATTTTGGTCCCTTTATTAGTTAGTTTTGTTCGAAATGATCCTATTTTTTTTAATGTTCCAAATGGTTTCTTCTTTTGTAAAAATTGTTCAATTTGGTCTCTTTTACTTACCGCGTTTAAAATGATATCAGCGTAAAGTCCACAGCCAATATTAAATCAGCTGTTCAGTTTTGAAATATCTGACTATGATGAGACAATGTTAAAAGTTTTTATTTTACTTTTTATACTTTAATTTTTATTTTATTTTTAATAGATTATCATGTTCTTCTTGTTAAACACATCCTCACACCCAAACCACCACTGAAAACTCCAAACCAAATCACAACAGGAAAACCACAATGATCACCCTCTAAACAAAAAATTTTCACAATCCTAAATCAAAATCCTAGTTCCAAATCGCGAGATAAAAATAGGTAGAGAAGAATAAAGAACATAAAACCCAAATAACATAACCCAATAGTTCAACCTTGATTCGAATCGCTAATTTTATTTGTCAGAACCACTAAAATACACGCACGTGCCACTTTAGTGGATTCCATGTGTCAAGCGAAGGGCTCAACACTCAGTTGGTGGAGGACAGGTGTTGGCAGATGAGCGGACGTCCGTTTTTGACGTGGGAAGCAAAACTTGATTTTCAGAAAATCACGTCACCTGCATGCAACCTCTCTTCCAAACTCTGAAACCTCATTTTCTCCTCATTCTCTCTAAATCTCCTTCATCTTCTCTCTACGGAATCTCACCCTTTCTCTTCTCCGATCTCCGTTCAGCCACCGTAGAAGCACTTCCGGCGTCAAGAGCTTCCAGATAAACTGTTCGGTTTGTGAAGCTGAGCTGGTAAGTCTTTCTGTTACATAAGCTTACCCTGTGTTTCCTGTCTTATCTGTTTTGTACGTCCGGTTGTCCTTCTGTTGCAATGATCATACGTGTGGATGTGAGCAGAAGGAGACGAGCTGCTGGAAGAGGCGCTGGAAGAAGAAAACTTAGTAGAGGTAGAAGTTAAGACCGAATAGTAGAACCGTTCGGTCAGTAGTTTAGTTTGATAGTAAGGTGGTCGTTCGATCACCTTCTCCTTTTATTTTGTATGACCGATCGGTGTTGGCTTTTGTAAACCGTTCGGTCAGACTTGCTTATCTTGTACGGTTTAAGTTTGTAGCTCTTTTTGTAAGGTCGTTCGGCCAGAAGAGTACGTTCTCTTTTAATGTAAGACTGAGCTGTAATATTACTAAATGTGATTATTCTATTATATAGTTTTAAACTGTATTTTTGGGATGTTACACTATCCAAGCCCTTGCAGCCGCGAAGATGCTGAAAGATGAGATCCTCACATCTTGAAACGTCGCGCCTATCCCTGGAAACTCGCATCGAAGACATTGAAGCACCAACTATCACGAAGAAAGCGCATTCCCTGCAAAAACAAACCCATGACAGAAAAGGAGAAGGGAGCTTGCCCTTTCAGCCAATCACAACTCCTAATCAGAAAAGGAGAAGACGAAACCTCCTACCTAGCCACTGTTCCTTGCATGACGATGAGTCTCACCCGAAACGCCCAATGCAACGTCCTCATCCTTCTTATGCCACTAGGATTTGCGAGTTCGAACCAAGATAAAGGAGAAGAAAAAAATCCTGTGAAACCCGTATGGGTACACCAAGGTTGGTCTATCTAAAAACCAGAAAACAAAGAGGGAAAAACTTTCTAATTAAGGTTTCATGATAGTGAATTGAGAGTTTAATTAAGGTAAAGGAAATTTAACTGTAATAAAGAGAATTTAGATAAGGTTAATGAATTTTAATATTATTAGTAAAAATGACTAAATTAAACTATTTTTCCAAAAGAATGAACTATTTTGAATATAAAAAAAGTTATGATGGATTTAAATATGTAAAATATATATGAACATTTTTTAACAAAAATAATTAATAAAGAATCGGTATTAAACTTTATATTTTTTTATATATATTTTTATATATTTTTTTAAGTATTAAACGCTTAAAAAAAACATGGATATTTTAATATTGTTATCAAATCTACTTCGTATGCTTTAATATTCAAATTAATGGCTACCTACCTTTATGATCCAATTATTATGAGTGCATATAAAAATATTGGTGATTGATTAATATTTTTATAAATGGTAACTTTATTTATGGTAAAGAAAATAAAAAGAGGTTAACTATATAAGAAGAAAAAATTGGGGTTCAACTTGTTAAAAAACCTTTTAAAAATGAAATTACTTTAAATTTGTTGAAAATTGTTTATATAAGCCATTATTTTAGGTTATGAAAATGCATTGATGACAAAGTTGATAGTGATTTCCATATTGATAGTGATTCACTTATTGATTTAAACAAATACTATGTTTGTGAAATATTGAATGCACTTGAAAGTTCACGGTGAAGGAAACATAGTCATTATAGATTAAATTAAATAATATTTCAGAAACAAAAAAAATGTATAATAATCTTTATTGTCAATAAAAAATTATAATTAATTCATAAATTAGATTTTAAATTAGTTTTTAATATTAGCCACCAATGTTTAAGGATTTAGTCTTTAATGTTATGTTTGGATTTGAAGATAAATTTGAAAAATAATTTTGAGGAGAAATAATTTGAAAAATAAATACAACTTCAAAAAAATTTATTTAAATATTTAAATTTTATTACATTTAAATGTTTCATACTTAAGTATTTTTTTACAACTTTACTAAATATTTGCTTTTATAAATTTCTTAAATATTTATTTTATATTAAATTTATTGAAAGTAACATTATTAAAATATGTTATTTTTATAACTTAAACATTTACATATTATTTATAATATTTCAAACAAATTAATTTTACTTATATGAATTTGTATAATATATTCCATTTATTTTTTATTTAAATTTTGTTAACTTTATTCAGTATTTAAGAAATTAAGAACATGCTTATTAATTATTTAAAAAAAATTGATATTTTATATATCTGTTTAAAATGGAAATCGTTATTAAATAATTGTACATATTTTTATAATTATCTTAAAAGATATTTATTTGAGGCAATAAGTATAAGTTTTAAAGTATTTATTTTATTTTTATTTTTAAATTGAAAAAAGAAACTTAAGTCAGCTAACATAAACAATAGCCTATTTTTAACTGGAAACGAGTTTGTTTCGGTAAATAAAATATCAAAATTGAAAATATTACTTTTTCTTTCTGTTTTTAATTTATTCAGGAAAAATTCTTATTTAAATGTTAATCCAAGAGGATGGAAAAGATTGAAATGAGATCACAATTTTTTTTTATTGTATTATAATTACTAGAACGAAATGTAAAGATAAATTATTTAAAATTTTGAAATAAAAAATATTGATCTTTCTTTCGAACTTTGAAATAGTTAATTTACTGAATTAACTGCTATTTTTTTTCTTACTGAATTAGTTTTATTAAATAAAATACATTATAACTTTGTATTAAAAGATTTTTACACTAGTTAACACCAATAAACTAAATTTTGGATTCAGAACTAAAATATCAATGATCCAAAAATAGGATTTAGATTTTCTAGCTGGCTTCTTNTCTCTTCTATACCACCAGCACCTTTAGTTGCCCAGTTACAACGTATTTGTCTACTTCCAAGCCATTTACCTGAAGGACAACGTAAATTGTTTTTGGACCAAAACAAGAAATACATGTGCATAAGAAAGAACATGTGAGCCTGTGACTCGTGCAATTACAAAATGCAATATACTCGTAAGAGGTAGTTCTAAAAATTCGACAATACAATTTTCCGTCTAGAATGTAAAATACAAAAAGAACACTACAAGTCAAGATATCAATTCCTATAGAAGAAACTCAATGCACAATTCCTTGCTGTAACATCAATTTTGCATCAAGTGGTTTTGAAAAATCATTGGAGATTAATCTGAATTTAAAGTGGTTCAAGTCTAAGATTGTCAAGTTAATAACAAATTTCTTACCAGTCAAATCATTTATAGCGTTTTGTGCATCCTACAAAAAATTAAGAAAAATACCAAGTCAAAATCATCATAGAGCCTTGTTCCTTAAAATATTCAAGAGTTTAAGAACCAAAGTTGGACCTGTTGACTGCGGAATGAAACAAATCCAAATCCTCTTGAACGCCCAGTCTTCTGATCCCACATAACCCTTGCATCTCTGGGCCACCAAAAATAAATAATTGATGAGCCAAGCTACATTACAATCGAACTTGAAAAAATATCATGACAGAAGTATAATTTTTCTCTATTTTGGATTGATATAGATTGATTCAAAATGAAATACACAGAGGATGACTATTTTACTAAGAAATCATGAGTGAAACTTACGAACAACTGGTGTAGACAGAAAAGCATGCAAACAGTGTAGCATCAGTGACCTCAGGACTTAGATCACCAACAAAAATATTGTAATGACCTGCAAATAAAAGAGCACGGTATATAAGAGTCAAAAGATCCCAAAGGATGGGACTTAGTTTAAACATTAATATCAATTTATTTAATTTAAAATCTGAACCAACCTGATGTGTCCTCTCGCTGGCCACTGGCATATGCCCAATTAACTTTGATAGGCTGGCCAAATCTGCAAAACATTGAATTAAATTTTGAATGGAAATTAAAATTGGTTTAACTTGTAAAGAAAAACACTTACAGATGCCTTCCATTAAGAGATAATATGGCAAGAGCAGCAGATCTGCGATCAAAGTAATGAATAAATCCATAGGATGACTGCAAAACAAAGGCACCAGATGATAGATATAAAGCTCCATTATCAGCAATTATAAAAATTCAAAATAACTAAGCTAAAAAGATATACCTTCTCCTTTCTGATAAGTTTACAACCTTCAACTGGGCCAGTACCAGCAAAAACTTCTTGCAAAAGAGGTTCAGTTACCTGTGTATGGATGTTCCCAACATACCTGCATTTTCTCAAAGATAAGGAAGCTATAAATTTAAAAAAAACAAAGCCAAGAAAAATTTACGGAACACAGTAATTAATTTTAGTAATAGAATAAAAAATTAAAAAATAACATACAGATAATTTTGGCACACTAAAATTGCTTTTAAGCATGGTCAAATGCATTTAACACCAATCGTTATTTGAAAAGAAGTAAATAGAAAATCAAAGTAGCCTAAGATTGTTTGAATCACAATCATGAAACAAACAAAAATGGGATATAAAATAAAAGAATAAAAGGAGAAAAAAAAAATTGTCTAGACAAACACTCACACACTGCGGCAAGTACTTGGATCAAAACCAGGAGGCAGATTTCCACTTGGAATTGGTTCAATCTGCAAAATGAAGAAGTGAAAAAGGAAAGAAAGGAAAAGGGGGGCAAATCAAGAGAGAAAATTTGTATTGCATCTACCAATACAAGTATGACAAAACATTACTGGGGTGAATGGGAATGAAGAAAGCATGTAGCCCAACTAGTACCAAAAAATTGCATGCATGAGTTAATTGCTAAGCCTGACAAAAGTTAACGAGAATGTTTCCATAGCTACCCAAACCACTCAGTACATAGTAAAATACAAATTAATACCAATGCAATAAGGGAAAAAACCCACAATAAAACAATACTAAATCTACTTTATATTTTAGAAACATCTAAATGAAATCAGACAATAACCCCCCCTCGACCACTCAGATTCATTTCCCAAATAAACTTTCAATAAAAACATACCTTCTCTAGTTAAGAAACATATAGATGCAATTGTTTGCCCAATATATAGGAAGCATAAACCCATTTCAAATGTATTAATTGTTAACTTTATTTTATACACTTGATTTATTGTGAAATCTGTAAACAATTTAGGTCAAGTCACATATATAGTTTGAAAAACTCACTCCTTGACTTACCAGTATATACAAGTATAGTCATTAAATATATGACCACTACTTCATTATGAGTATTTCTGAAATAAAATTTAAAATGTAAATTCTTAAATTAATAAACTGACTATATTAATCAGTTTAATAAATTAATTAATTTGTTTCTTACATGTAGAACTGTAGTTAATACTTTATAACATGGCCAAGCTGCCCACCTAAACTCTATTACTCGACTATGAGCATGTTTGGATAACCACTTCCCAAACAACTACAGTTCTAGGACACAAAATTGAGAAGTTGCAGTATTGATGGATTGAAATAAATTATTGGTTACATTTTGGATGTTATTTCAAACACAACCTAAGACCACAGAGACAAAAACAAAACCGCCAGAAAAGGAAGCAAAGAAGGACACTTCAAATCATTTTTTACTTGAAATTCCTCCAGAGAGTCTGAGATGACAAGTGGTTCATTAACCATTACTCATTGCCCAATGCTTGATTCTCAGTTACTTAAAAAGATGTTTCAGAAACAAAATGACTTCAACATAAGTTTATAGACATTGACCACCCCAAAAGAAAAAACACAACATCCTTTTATACTTCAGAATAACATTACTCAACCCAAAAGTTTCATTTCCCACCACACATGTTTCTGATGAGTTGGACCGACTAATGCAAAACCCTCCTCACACGGCAGGCAAACCAAATAACTCCACAATTAGGTTTATCCACAAGACCAACACATCACTGCTAGACATCAAGTAAAAAAAATGGAGAAAACTAAAAAAGAATGAAAAACCAGCTTCTTATATGGATAAGAGAAGTTAATGTCAGCAACAAAACCCTAGGCATTGCAATCAATCCCGTGAAGATAAAATGCAAAACTCGAAGATCGAGACAACATAATATGATCAAAACAATGATCGGAAATAGAGATGTAGAAGGAGAAAGAAAGAGAGAGAGAGAGAGAGAGAGAGAGAGAGAGAGTAGGGTCCAACCTGAGGAGGAGCAAGGAGGCCAGGGTGGTAGAGAGACTGTTGTTGGAGAAGTGCTTGCTGCATCAGAGCCTGTTGTTGTTGCTGCTGCTGCTGCTTCAGCCTATGATTCTGCATTTTCCTCTTCTCTTTTTCTTGTCCGGAAAATTTTCCCAGAAAATGGGTTTCGGTGGAGATTAGGGTTCAAAGGGTCCCAAGCTATGGCCCTCAAAGAGCACAGGCCTCAGAAAAACCAGAGGACTCTACTCGATTCCATCCACCACTATTTATATACCGTCATTCTTCTTTTTTTTTTTTTTTTCTATTATCGGAAAATTTAAAAATTAAAATATTATAATAAAAATAATAATAATATAAGAAAATTCCTTTTATTTTTTAAATTGGGTCATAAAATTAAGATATTAAAATCTTAAATTTTTAAGATGTGAGTACTTGGAATGGATGGAAATTAATGTTTTTTTCCTTCAAATTTACATAGAACACTATAAACTGCTTGAATTCAGAGGAACTTTTAACTTAACTCGTTCTTATGTTTGTCTAATTAAATCATTATATTTTTTTAAGTTTAAAAAATTAAAATTTGTTTATTAATATTAAATATAAAAAATATTAAATTATTCGAAAAAAATATAGAATTTACAAACATATTTAAACAGTTACTATTTTGTTGTAAAATGGGTAAATAGGAAATAATTTAGTCTTTAAAATAATAAAATTTTGATTTGATCTCTAAATATTTAAAAACTGTGACATTTACTTTTTTCTATATTCAATTTTATATTTTTAGTTATGTTTTTAATTTTAAACAATTTAATAAGTTTTTTACTAAACTGTAGAAAACCCAAATGAAGCAAAGATGTGGGAAAAGTCAGTGTTAATCATTATTTATTTGAGTTAATATGGAGATGAGTGAGAGTGAAATTGAAAGTAAAATTTTAGAGAACAAGTGTAATATTTTATCTACCTTACTGATAAAAAAATAGTTTAATGGATAGAAATTGAAGATTATCAAAATAACTTTAATAATAAAAGTAATATAAAATGATAATTGTTAATATTATATGTAATTATAAAAATTATTATAAAGACAAAAATAAATAAAAATTAAGTTTTAAAATTCCATTAAATTTAATAATAATAATTATTATTATTATTTTATTATATTATTATTAATAAAATTAATAAATGAATTTTTCAATTTAGTTGGGACATTTTTATTCTACCATGCAATATGCATTTTTCAATAAATATCAAAAAAATATATAGTTTTACAAAGATAAAATTGGTTTTTTTAGATAAATCCTCTCCAATCTTTGTTGGATACAAAAGATGGAATTAATCATGTGCAAATCTACTCCTTTTCCTTTTTTACATGTCTGAACACACATAAAATTAAAAATTGTGCAAAGAATTGTGAATAATAAATTCTTTTAATGCGAATGAAAAAAATCCGCGATGAATATTGATACCTGCGGATATTTATTATCCGCAACCTGCGGGTAGCGAATATTTTAATACCCGCTTATAACAGATTAGGTGTGGGTATTATACTATCCGTACCCGGATATCCACTATCCGCAAAAAATAAAAAATAAAAAATTAATTTATATTTTGTTAAGTTAAATTTAATTAAAATTAACATTAATTTATTTTACAAGATTAAATTTAATTAAAATTGAATTTAAATTTATATTTAATTTAATTTAATTATATTTATATTTTTTGTAATTCTATTTAAATTTTTATTTATAATTTATTGAAAATATATTTTTTAAAATATTTGCGAGTATCTGCGGATATCTATGGGTATTCGCGGATTTTAAAATATCCGCGGATATTATTTAAGCGGATATCCATACGGGTATCGAGTCGGATAGCGGATGAATTTTTTTTTTGTCGAGTCGAGTTGCGGGTAGGCACTATCCGTGTTCGACTGACCCATTGTGATCCCTGAATGGGAATGACTAAAAAGTTATATATCTGTTTAAAATGGAAATCGTTATTAAATAATTGTACATATTTTTATAATTATCTTAAAAGATATTTATTTGAGGCAATAAGTATAAGTTTTAAAGTATTTATTTTATTTTTATTTTTAAATTGAAAAAAGAAACTTAAGTCAGCTAACATAAACAATAGCCTATTTTTAACTGGAAACGAGTTTGTTTCGGTAAATAAAATATCAAAATTGAAAATATTACTTTTTCTTTCTGTTTTTAATTTATTCAGGAAAAATTCTTATTTAAATGTTAATCCAAGAGGATGGAAAAGATTGAAATGAGATCACAATTTTTTTTTATTGTATTATAATTACTAGAACGAAATGTAAAGATAAATTATTTAAAATTTTGAAATAAAAAATATTGATCTTTCTTTCGAACTTTGAAATAGTTAATTTACTGAATTAACTGCTATTTTTTTTCTTACTGAATTAGTTTTATTAAATAAAATACATTATAACTTTGTATTAAAAGATTTTTACACTAGTTAACACCAATAAACTAAATTTTGGATTCAGAACTAAAATATCAATGATCCAAAAATAGGATTTAGATTTTCTAGCTGGCTTCTTTTTTAGTCATTCCCATTCAGGGATCACAATGGGTCAGATCGAACACGGATAGTGCCTACCCGCAACTCGACTCGACAAAAAAAAAATTCATCCGCTATCCGACTCGATACCCGCATGGATATCCGCTTAAATAATATCCGCGGATACCCGTAAATATCCGCGGATACTCGCAAATATTTTAAAAAATATATTTCAATAAATTATTAAAATAAAATTTAAATAGAATTACAAAAAATATATAAAATATAATATAAATTAAATTAAATATAAATTTAAATTCAATTTTAATTAAATTTAATCTTGTAAAATATAAATTAATGTTAATTTTAATTAAATTTAACTTAATAAAATATAAATTAATTTTTTATTTTTTATTTTTTGCGGATAGTGGATATCCGCGGTACGGATAGTATAATACCCACACCTAATCTGTTTATAAGCGGGTATTAAAATATTCGCTACCCGCAGGTTGCGGATAATAAATATCCGCAGGTATCAACTATTCATCGCGGATTTTTTTTCATTCGCATTAAAAGAATTTATTATTCACAATTCTTTGCACAATTTTTAATTTTATGTGTGTTCAGACATGTAAAAAAGGAAAAGGAGTAGATTTGCACATGATTAATTCCATCTTTTGTATCCAACAAAGATTGGAGAGGATTTATCTAAAAAAACCAATTTTATCTTTGTAAAACTATATATTTTTTTGATATTTATTGAAAAATGCATATTGCATGGTAGAATAAAAATGTCCCAACTAAATTGAAAAATTCATTTATTAATTTTATTAATAATAATATAATAAAATAATAATAATAATTATTATTATTAAATTTAATGGAATTTTAAAACTTAATTTTTATTTATTTTTGTCTTTATAATAATTTTTATAATTACATATAATATTAACAATTATCATTTTATATTACTTTTATTATTAAAGTTATTTTGATAATCTTCAATTTCTATCCATTAAACTATTTTTTTATCAGTAAGGTAGATAAAATATTACACTTGTTCTCTAAAATTTTACTTTCAATTTCACTCTCACTCATCTCCATATTAACTCAAATAAATAATGATTAACACTGACTTTTCCCACATCTTTGCTTCATTTGGGTTTTCTACAGTTTAGTAAAAAACTTATTAATTGTTAAAATTAAAAACATAACTAAAAATATAAAATTGAATATAGAAAAAAGTAAATGTCACAGTTTTTAAATATTTAGAGATCAAATCAAAATTTTATTATTTTAAAGACTAAATTATTTCCTATTTACCCATTTTACAACCAAAATAGTAACTGTTTAAATATGTTTGTAAATTCTATATTTTTTTCGAATAATTTAATATTTTTATATTTAATATTAATAAACAAATTTTAATTTTTAAACTTAAAAAAATATAATGATTTAATTAGACAAACATAAGAACAGTTAAGTTAAAAGTTCCTCTGAATTCAAGCATGTTATAGTGTTCTATTGTAAATTTGAAGGAAAAAACATTACTTTCCATCAATTCCAAAATTTACTACATCTTTAAAAATTTAAGATTTTAATATCTTAATTTTAATGACCAAATTTATAAAAATAAAAGTGAATTTTCTTATATTATTATTATTTTTTTTATATATATTTTAATTTTAATATTTTTCCGATAATAGAAAAAAAAAAGAAAAAAGAGAATGACGGTATATAAATAGTGGTGGATGGGAATCGAGTAGAGTCCTCTGGTTTTTCTGAGGCCTGTGCTCTTTGAGGGCCATAGCTTGGGACCCTTTGAACCCTAATCTCCACCGAAACCCATTTTCTGGGAAAATTTTCCGGACAAGAAAAAGAGAAGAGGAAAATGCAGAATCATAGGCTGAAGCAGCAGCAGCAGCAACAACAACAGGCTCTGATGCAGCAAGCACTTCTCCAACAACAGTCTCTCTACCACCCTGGCCTCCTTGCTCCTCCTCAGGTTGGACCCTACTCTCTCTCTCTCTCTCTCTCTCTCTCTCTCTCTCTTTCTTTCTCCTTCTACATCTCTATTTCCGATCATTGTTTTTGATCATATTATGTTGTCTCGATCTTCGAGTTTTGCATTTTATCTTCACGGGATTGATTGCAATGCCTAGGGTTTTGTTGCTGACATTAACTTCTCTTATCCATATAAGAAGCTGGTTTTTCATTCTTTTTTAGTTTTCTCCATTTTTTTTACTTGATGTCTAGCAGTGATGTGTTGGTCTTGTGGATAAACCTAATTGTGGAGTTATTTGGTTTGCCTGCCGTGTGAGGAGGGTTTTGCATTAGTCGGTCCAACTCATCAGAAACATGTGTGGTGGGAAATGAAACTTTTGGGTTGAGTAATGTTATTCTGAAGTATAAAAGGATGTTGTGTTTTTTCTTTTGGGGTGGTCAATGTCTATAAACTTATGTTGAAGTCATTTTGTTTCTGAAACATCTTTTTAAGTAACTGAGAATCAAGCATTGGGCAATGAGTAATGGTTAATGAACCACTTGTCATCTCAGACTCTCTGGAGGAATTTCAAGTAAAAAATGATTTGAAGTGTCCTTCTTTGCTTCCTTTTCTGGCGGTTTTGTTTTTGTCTCTGTGGTCTTAGGTTGTGTTTGAAATAACATCCAAAATGTAACCAATAATTTATTTCAATCCATCAATACTGCAACTTCTCAATTT